GAGCAGACTCCACCAGCCCTACAAGAGACCCTCATAGCCCAGGGGAGGGTGGCACTCAGTGTCCGTTCCACACCAAGCCACCCTGAAGATGCTCCCTCCTGCTCACATGGTGGGACAGCAGCAGGCTGGCTCCAGCAAGAGGACGCAGCTCCGCGAGGCTCTTCTTGTGTGCAGCTTGTGCTGAAGGGGATGGTAGCAGTGGAAGGGGTGTTCTCCAGGATCCCAGAGGCTGTGTGTCCTTCCAGATGCAGCTGAGCTTTCCAGTCAGCAACAAGCATGGCAAAAGTGCTTTCGGGGCCCTAGGTCCAGCTTCTGCCCGTGTGGCAGCTGCCCGCCCTGTAGCGCTGAGGTCTGCCCTACAGAGAGGGGCCACAGCTCATCACGAAGCCTGCCCAGCTTTTTTCCTCAGGCACTGCTGACTTACTCCCCACCTCGTCTCAGAGAGCTTCCACCACTCCACTCAGCCTGTGCTCTCACTGGTCCCTTTTTTCCTTTACTATGCCATTTTTCCATTCCTCTTCCTCTGGTCCTTCCAGCCTGTCCCTCTTCTTCACCTGCTCCATCTCTCTCTACCTGTCTCCTTGCCTCCCCATTCTCTTGTTTCCACCATACCCTCTTCAACCCTTCTGTGTCTGCCTCTCCTCTCCCTTCCTCAGCTCTTTTTTCCCCCTTCCCTCCCACATATCTCCCCCTCCTTCCCACAAGCCTGCCTGGCAAAGTCTCCTCCAGGAAAGCAGACTTATTAGCATTGCAAACACACAGAGGCCTCCTCAGCCCGACATAAATCTTCATTTGTCAGTCATGAATATTTCACACCTGCCTCGGGAGGGATTTATTCAGCATGGAAGAGTGAGGAGGGGGAAAGGGGAACATGGCACTGCAGCATAAGCTGGGGCAGCATGGGCAGAGATGGGGAAGAGCTCTACCCCCTGGGAACAATATGCCTAGTATCTCATCTTCCCTTTTCTGGGTGCAAGAACCCAGCCCAGACTCCATCTGAGCCTGTTTCTGGAGGAAGAGGGCAGCTCAGCACCTAACCTCATTCCTCACCCTCCACACTTTCCAATGAGGTGAGCTAAAGAGTCACCAACACAGAAATTAAGTGTGAAAGGGGCTGGTCCTGGTTCTGCCTCATGGACCCACTTTGCCCTGGGAGAAGGCAAGGGTAAGGGTCTTCTGCCAAAGCCAAGTCATAGAGGGCTTAGAAATTTCAGGCAGTTTCTCCACCCTTTTTCCCACCACAGCAGCCTTAAAGGTTTCATCACCTGCCCTCTGCCAGTGCCACCCACAAGAGAGGAGGGGTAGGACAGACCTAATCCAGAGCTCCCTGCAATCAGTGAGCGGAAAGTGGTGGGAGGTTGTCTAGTGATTGTAACCAGCTCCACATCAAGCTTTCACTGTATCAGAGGTTTCCCTCCAACTGAAGCACTTCTTGTTCTCCCAAGAATAGCCTTGCTTGTAGATTTGAAAGAGCAACCAGGGCACGGGGATGGTAGCAACCATCTCTTATGAGATCTATCTTGATGGGCCTCACTCCTGTTTCTAAATAATTAGGAGAAATATTGACCATTAGCAAGAGTAGGCCTTTGGTATATAACACATCCCCCTTCACGCACACAACCCTGAAAAGCAGCCAAGACACCACATCTGGGGCAAGGGGAGTGTGACACTGGAAAGAAGGAATGGTTTTTATGGGGCTGATTGGGTTCTCTTTGGGGTGTGTTCCCTCCCAGACTGGTAGGAATCTCTCATAAAATCACATCAGGGATGAATGAAAGGAGCAGGGAAAACAGGGACAAGAACGGGAGAGACTTTGGGGGAGGAGGTTAAATTCCAACAAACTGGCACATACACAACAGGTGCTTGCTCAGAAAAATACAGTAAAATTGTCATGCAAATATAACGTTAAATCTGCTTTCCTCCGACAGGGCAGGCGTCACTTTGCTGGCCCTCATCCCTGGGGAGGGAGCAGGACAAGGAAGAAGGGAGGAGGAAGGAAGGAAGGTGGGACACTTTGTTCCCCTCCCTTGCCCTCTTCCTCCCACAGAACAGTCCATCTTGTGCAAACTTCACCCACTGGTTTGGAGTGGGGGGCTACAGTCCGGTTGGGAAAAATTGCTTTCCCCCCCCCCCCCAGCCATACCCCCACCACAGGCAAAAGAAGGGCCTGATGATAGCTGTATCTCTGACCTCTCTTTTCTGCCTCATTGGGGTGATGGGGGGAGGGAAGCAGAAGCCATTACAGGCTAATGTTCCCTCCAAAAGTATATACTGAGCGGAACTGATTACAAGACCATACAGCAGAGATGCAGAGGGAGGGAAGTGGTGAGGAGAGGAACAGGACTCCATCCCCCCATGCCTGTCATCCCCCTTTTCCTGTCCAGTTCTGTGCCCCAGCCATTAGTCTTTCCTGCTTGGATGGCTGCCATGCTGGAAGACCGCTGGGCCTGCTGCATGTGGTAGCTGGAGAGGTGTCTGTTGTGCCTAAGCACCTCTCAAAGCATTTACCTGTCTTGATTTGCTGCATTGTCCCAACATGGAGGGACACCTGGCAGCAGTGATGTGACTTCCCTTCATTCTCCTGCACATACACACACACACACACACACACGTGCACACACATGCCTCCCTCTGGGTTGGACTGGCTCTTACAGTGTGGAGTCAGTCCCATGGATACCTCTGGACTCAAGACAAAATGATGCTTTGATTGTGGGGAAGGTGGCTGACAGTGAAGGAGGCTGAGGCAATGGGATCAGGACCTGCCTTAGGATTGTTACCGTCAGTATCCCTACAAGAAAGGAACCCCAAGTACCTTCACAGATTTAGACCTTGGGGATCCCTGCTCTGGTTTTTGTACACCAGGCTCTGCCCACTGCTGCTCCTCACGTAGAGAAGATGAAGTCATGACACCTGTGCCATAGAAACCAGCTCTCACAGCTGGCAGTGCTACTACCCGACAGAAAATGGGCAGGTTCTCTGCAGGAAGCATGTAAATCCCTCCCAGAGTAGCTCCTACATCCTCATTCTTCTTCCAGGGCCCCCCAAAACACTGGGGCCTCTGAGGAGCACCTCTGAAAGGAAATAGCCACATAGGAAAGGCCAACACAACACAGACCCTCACCCTCATCCTGACTGAGGTGAATTATTATCATGAATTGGGGTGTGCAGCTCATGGGGAGGAGGCCCACTGTTCTGCTTAAAGACATACTCAGGACGCAGCACCCCTGCTTGACAAGAAAACTCTGGGGGAGACAGTGCCAAGATTGTGCTTTGTTGGGCTGCTCAGAAATGGGATGAAGTGGAGAGGGCAGTAGCCTCATTTCCAACTCTGTGGCAGATCTTCTATTCAAGGGATAGAGGTTGGGACCTAGCAAGTGAAACAAGGTTTTTGCTAAGATATTAATAGGATCCCTAAGAAAAGTCTGTCACAGCTAACTGTGAGGAGGTGGAGGATTCAGGAGATAATAAGCTGCTCTGACTCTCATGAGTCCCTCTAAGTACTGAAAGGAGCACTGCCATCCAGAGGCTGGTATCTTCTATCTTGGCATACACAGTGTGGCTGCACACACAAAGGGAGCTTCTCCCGAAGCCATCCCTCTTGGGCTACTTCCAGGTCGCATTCTCACATTTGTTTCCTGTGCTCCTCCCCTCACCCTTGGCTATCTCCTACCCATGCCAGACTGTCCATGACCTATTCAAGAGGAAGCCACTTGGTGGCTTTTCTGTCAAGCCAGTGAGGTGAGCAACTGAAATCCTATTCTTCACATCCATGTGCAAGTGAGGAGGATGGTGATGCTCTTCTCATGCACACCCACACACCCCACACTCCATGGTGCAAGTCAGTTGGGAAGAGCTGTAGAAGCTTCATGTAGAACTTGTTCTGCTCAGCTCCTCTCCAGGTCCCTTCCTCATAGCAAGGGAGGCATGAACAGAGAATACCGAACCTACTGCACAAGGGTAGCCTGAGCATAGATGTCTCTGGTGGGGAGGACCTCTGACCTATGACACTCATGAAGAGATGAGAACCCTTTACACCTCTGAGAGACTGGATCTTCCTATCTTTTCCTCCACCACTCCTTGAGGACCTGGCTTGCCATGCCAAAGAGCACATTCATATCCTCCCACCAACTGGCAGAAAACTGGCTCTGAGCAGGCCTGGAGGATGCTCATCACTCCAGAATTGCTGGTGTTATCAGCAACAACATGGCAGAAGAAGGGAAGGAGGAAGAGCAGCAAGGGCACAAAGCCTGTTGTACGGCAGGTCCTACCTCCCTTGGTCCTTTGCACCTTCTCTCCTTCCTCCAAGGAGGATGGAGGCTCATGAAGTATCTAGACAAAAAGTGCAAGCCTAGGGACTTCTAATGGAGAAGGGTAGGGAAGAGGAAAACGAAAAGAAGCGAGAACACTTCTTCCAACAAATCCCACCTATCTTGAAAGAGGACTAGAAAGAGACAAAAGCCTTTACTGCCAAAGGAAATGGAGGCAAAAATAGTGATGGAAGATTTGCAAAAGTAGGTGTATAAGGTGGACAGAGAAGCTTTCTAAACCAAAGGGCTCCCTTCCCACCCGAAAGAAAAATCACCCCTCAACAGGAACAGAAAGAGCAATAGTTCACAGCTGAGTTTCATGCCCAGTGATTGTCCATCCCTGCCGTTCCCCTGCCACCACTGCCACCCTTTCCTGGGCCATTCCCACCCACCCGCACTCCAGTGTTGCTACCACAGTGTCAGAGCAGGACGCTCCTCCCAACCATCTGCAGGCAGAACAATGGTCCCCGTAACACAGTAGAGACAATTCGGCGTGTGTGTGTGTGTCTGTGTGTGTGAGAGTTTTCTGCTGTTGTTGTAAACTTTTAAGAAACAATTTTGTCAGTTTTGTATTTGTCGAGAGTATTTTGTTGTTGGTTTATTTTTCACAGTCAAGTGGCATAATTTTTTTTCTGGTTGTTGGAAGGGGGGGGTCTTGTTTTGTATTGTTTCCTTGGAAAGAGTGAGGGAGAGTCACAGCTTCTGCTGAGCAGAGACTCCTTTCCAGTAATCCAGGATGTCATGCAGATCCTCGTCCTTGGCAAACTGAACTTTCTTCCGCAGGGCATGCCCAGCCGCCATGTAAACCTCCTCCCTGTGGTGCTTCTTGTAAGGCCGGAATCGCTCCCAGATCTTGTGGGTGCTCTCTGATGAGTACTCAGGGCTGGAGGAGTAGCCCGAGAAGTAGTGTCTTGGGGAGAGCTGGGAGTACGTGGAGTCTCGCTTGGACCGGGAGAGTGGCTTGAGGAATGACACCCGCTGGCTCAAGGTGTCAGCACTTTCCTCATAGTACAGGGCCGGGAAGGAGTGACGGTGCTCACTGCAATGGTAAGAAGGCTTGACCTCCAAGTGGTGGATGGCGCCTGGGGACACCAAGGGAAGACGATCCAAAGGGCTGTTGAGTGGGCTGCCCTTCTCAATGTATTTGGAGTCAGACTTGCTGAGTGGTGGGTGGTCAGGCACATCCAAACTGAAGACCTTGGCGCTCTTGATGGAGCCACTAGAGGAGACGCTGCAGGTTTTTCTGGCCACAGCAGCATCAGCACTGAGCTGGCGCTGCAAAGGGTGGTGAGAACTTTCCTTGTAGGGTGGGGAAAGAAAGCTGGGCCGCTCTAGCCCACCCGAGGAACCTGCTGGGATGGACTGGCACTCAAAGGCCATGTCTGAGTCAACACCAGTCCCACCACCCAGGAACGAGGCTGTGTCCAGCTTGAGAGCATCAATGCAGTTGTTGATGATCTGGTTGACCTTGTCTACCTCCTTGGCTATAGTAGAGATCTCAGCAGCTGAGCCTTGCCCATTGTCAAGCTCCCTCAGGTCTTCATCCCGCTGGGTTCGCTCCAGCCCATCCCCACCACCAGTCCGCACCTCAATGTAGTTACCTTTAGTGGTGACTTTAGGAGTCTCCAACCCTGCTTCCATTGACTTTGATGGGGGCAACTTCTCCCCAATCATGGAAGGGATGGAGGACATCCGTGAGACAGGGATGACTGGTGGCTCACCCAGCTTTTGAGAAGGATGGACCATGGTACTGGTATCAATATCTGATCCATAACGCATTTCCAGAATGGTCTTTTTGACATTGAGGGACTTCTGCTTCTCCTCCTGCATCCTCCGCTTCCGCAGACAGTAGTACACCACCCCCAAGACAATGACCATCCCAAAGAGACAACCCAGGGTGGTCATGATATAGTGAGTGGTGGTGGAAGTACTGGAAATAGGGTCTTCCCTGCCTTTGCTCCGGGTTGCAAAGGTCAAGCAAGTGTGATTGTAGCGCCTGTTGTTGCGGATGGAGGCCACACAGAACGTATAATCAGTGTGGGCCTTCAGCTTGTTGACAGTGACATATTCCTTCTTGCTCTTCAGTGTTGCTATGTCAGAAACATAGCTGTTGTTGTATTGGACCAGCACATACATCTTACTGTAGGGCATGGGAATGGTTACCATCAGGATAGCTGAGGTGATGGTGACATCATGGAGCTTAATGCTGGGACTGAAGGAGGAGTCAGTGGTGGAGGAGGCAGGAGGTTTGACTGAGAGGAAGTCCCCAGGGCTGATAGCTGAGCCTTCATCCAGGTCTCGCTGAGAGTCAGGGGTATAAGGGGTGGGGTTGACCCTGGAGAGCGAGGGGATGGTGCCACCTCTGCACATGGACTGAAAGATGGTGATGGCATTGCGGTTGTGGTGAGGCCGAGGTACCAGGAGTGGGTACCCAGCAAATTCCCGTGGAGTCTCACACTGGAGCCGGTCATAGTTCTTGGTGACATTGTTGAAGAGTGCCAGCCAGTTAAGAAAGCTGTAGAGGCTACAGTCGCAGTTGAAGGGGTTGCCAGCCAGCTCGCACACCATCAGATTGCTCAAGCTGGTGAAAGTGTTCCCCTCCAGACGGCTGAGACGGTTAGATGACAGGTCAATGCTAATCAAGCTGGGGCACTCAGAGAAGGCAGTAGGAGTGACCAGCTCAATTAGGTTGTGCTGCACAAAGAGAAACTGGAGACGGGCCATGCCCCGCAACATGCCCTCTGTAAGGTTGGTGAGTTTGTTGTAGCCCAGCTGTAAGACCTGGAGATTTGACTGGCCCATGAAAGCCCCATCCTCAATATAGGAGATCTCATTCTTAGTCAGGTTCAAATCAGTCAGGTTCCCGAAGCGGTTGAGGGAGGAGTACAACACCACTTTGAGCTTATTCTCATTCAGACGCAGGTCATGCACAGTGCTGTTGATATGCTGGGGGATGGTCTCGTACGGGGGCTGGTTCTGGCTGCAGATGGCCAGCCACACATAACCTTTGTCCCCCTCGATCAGCCAGCAGTCACCTCGCACGGTGCCAGGGGAAAACAAGCAGAGTAGGGCAGCTGCCCACAACCCCAGGCACATCATGGTCTGCAATGGTGCCCTCATCAGGATGGGAATTAAAAAACAACAAAAAACAACCCCAAATCTCAGGACCACAGCAAAAGGAAAATAAGGGGCAGAGGCAAGAGAAAGGGGCAGTAACTGAGGTTTAGCAATGGAAGGGCTTGAGCACCCCAGTCCTATTGGGTGTCCTCACCATTATTTCTTCTTGCCCTCTGGGTCAAGCCAGGAGCATGGAGCAGGGGATAAGCATGCAGTCTGCTTCCAGCACACCCAAAAGCTACGACCATGGATGATTGGTCTGGAAGGGAGCTACGTTGTGCTTCTTTTCTAAACAAAAATTCAGACCAAGGATAACGAATCTTCTTTGATGACCAGGAGCGACTCGCCCACCTTTTCCACTTTCCTCCCTCCCACCCACCCCCCACCCACA